TGAGGTCGAGAGGCAGCGTGGTTTTGGGTGGGAATTCCAGAATTTAAGCCTAGGCAGCAGATTTCAGGCTTTGCCAGTGCTGTTGTTATTGAAATAAGGATGCCACTAAGATTTGAGGAATTGTAGGGATCTCAAAGTGTTATAAAATGTTAAGGAAACTGGGAGTGATGAAGCCATGGTGGGCTTTGAAAACTTGTAGGAAAACTTTGAAGTTGAGGAATTGCCAGATTGCAAGTCAATGCAGTTCAGTAAAACTAAAGGGTTGATGGGCAAAGGCCATTTGGGAAGGAAGTCTGCTGTCCTTAATTGGGCTGGCGTACATTTGAATCCAGGGACATAGCAATGTGACTGGTATGGCCCAAGGACAATTAGAATGAGGAAGAAATGTCAGTCTTGCCAGTGACATACATCTCATGAAATAATGTATTTGATAAAAGTAACGTGGTGCAAGTTAGGATGCACAGGCAGCAACATTTTGAATTAGCTTACTTTTATGGAGGGTGGAAGATGGGGGATTGGCCAGCAGTGCATTCAAACAGTCAAGCCCAGAAGGAGCAAAAGCATGGATGAGGATTTCAGCATCAGATGAGCTCTGGCAGTGGAAGAATCATGCAATTTTATAGAGGGGGAAGTAGGGAGTTCTAGTGGCAGCGCAGCTATGTAGAGGATGCAGAGGAGATTTACCAGGATGTTGCCTAGCTGGAGAGTTTTTAGGTTATGCAGAAAGATTGGACAGACTAGAGTTGTTTACCATAGAGCAAAGGAGACTGAGAGGGGACATGATTAGGATGTATAAAACTTTGGCGGCCATAGATGGGAAGAAGCGTTTCCCTTTGGTGGAAGGATCAATGATCGGGTGGTGGTGGGGTGGGGGAGAGGTGTGGGTGGGGGCAGGGATCGATTTTAGGAGGTTTAGAGGGGCTGTGAGGGTAAAATGTTTTTACTCAGTGGGTGGTGGAAATCTGGAACTCACTGCCTGTAAGGGTGACAAAGGAAGAAAGCCTCATAACATTTAAGAAGGATTTAGATGTCCACTTGAGATGCCGAGGCATAAATGGCTATGGGTCATGTGCTGGAAAATGGGATAAGTATAGGTAGGCGGTTGGTTTTGATTGGTGTGGACATGATGGGCTGAAGGGCCTTTGTCTGTGCTGTAGATCTCTATGCTTCCATGCGGTTAGAATCTCAGATCAGTTAAAAAAATATACCGCACTGAAGTGCAGTGGCATGTAGATAAACTCAGTGACCTAGTGTGACCATAGTTCTTTGAAAGTTGCATCACAGGCAGACAGGGTGGTTAAGAAGGTGTTCAGCACGCTTGCCTTCATTGCTCAGACCATTCACTGGAGTGTAGGAAGTTCAGGGATGACCTTATAGAGGTGTGTAAAATCGCAAGGGGCATAGATAAGATGAATAGCAAAGGTCTGTTCTCTAGGACGGGGGAGTTCAAAACTAGGGGACATATTTTTAAGGCAAGAGGAAAAAGATTTGAAAGCGAACTGAGGAGCCACGTTTTCACACAGCGGGTGCTTCATGTTTGGAATAACTGCCAGAGGAAGTGGTAAATGCAAGTACAATTACAACATTTAAAAGACATTTGGATAGGTACACAAATAGGAAAGGTTTAGAGAGATATGGGCCAAACACAGGCAAGTGGGGCTAGTTGAGTTTGGGAACATTGTCAGCATGGACGAGTTGGACCGAAGGGTCCATTTCCATGCTGTATGACTCTATGACTGTAACCTCAGGCTAATGTTCCGGGGCAAGGGTTTGAATCACACCTTGGCAGATGGTGAAATTTGAATTCAATAATTAAAAACTAAACCTTGTAACAGGTGTCAATTGTTGTTTTACAAAAGCCCATCTGCTTCACTAATGTCCTTTTAAGGAAGGATATCTGCCATCCTTAATTGGTCTGGTCTATACGTGACCCCAGACCCACAACAATGCAGCTGGCTCTTAACCTGAAATGGGCAACAAATAAAAACCGAAAGAACTGCAGATGCTGTAAATCAGAAGCAAAAACCAAAGTTGCTGGAAAAGCTCAGCAGGTCAGGCAGAATGTGTGGAGAAAAATCCGAGTTAGTGTTTCATCTCGAGTTCTGATGAAGAGTCACTCGACCCGAAATGTTAACTTTAATGGGCAACAAATGCTGGTCTTGCTAGCGTCACCCATATCCCATGAATAATTTATTTTTTAAATGGTTTCCGTCTGCCTCTCCAACCTACAAAAGCCAGTATAACGCCTTGAGAAAAAGGACAACACGCATAATCGCTGAATAAAAAGATGCATTTTGATGGAGCTTTCCGCCATGTAGCATTAGGACATTTTGCAGGCAATACCAGTGTAAGGGGCAAACAACCTTTTTACGCTGCTTGAGGTAAGTATTACATTGACAACCAATTTAAGTTTGTCAGTCAGGCTCACAGTGTTCCGCACTTACACGCACCGGAAGCTACATATTTTAATAAACAGGGCTCTGTTCTTTGCAGACAGAACAAACATGTACACACATTGCGCCTGTTTCAACTCAACACAATAAGTGACAGCCATTCTCTGGTTCATTTCTCAGGGCCATATCTTGATCAATGAGAGGGGAAACCAGCTTTCTATTTGTTTCTAACTCGTGTTCTCAAAATTTCTGGCTGCCCCATTAGTCTCGCAAAGTTTTTGGCATCAATATCTACCTCTCAAAAAGAAACAAAACAATTCGCAAAATGTTACATCTGCTTGTTGCCCTCGTATACTGAGGTACTTGGGACGAAATATGTGGACGACATTCACAGGCAGAACAGCACAATATATCTTTATTTGCTTACATGTTTACAACCACAGAAGTACTTTCCTGCAGTGATTGCAAACGTTATGTAATAGCTAGCCTTTAAAGCAAGATAAAAGTTTGCCTTTAATGATGAGTTAGGCCCAGCACTGTGCTCACTTTGTAGAATATGTCTGGTGTTACTCTTTTATTTCTGGCCATTTTCTCCTGCCCACCCTCATTCTGCAAATTTTCATTTTTCACCTTTTAAAGTTGCTCTTAGCAGAGCTATTCAACTGCATAGGGATCACTATTAGCCCAGCGTCTGTGTTCCACATCTATAGATGATAACTGCTGGACACTGAGAGTAATCGTGCCACCCTCCACCGGAAAGGCCAATGCTAACTTATGAGCTTAAGGTCTTGTTGTGTTTTCTGACTCAATCTAGTCACTGGAAGAAATTATAGAATGACTGGAGGAAGCCAGAAGTGAGAATGATGACCATCAGTGCTATACAATCACGGCACGTGAAATACTATGATTTGGGTTTCGCTCAACAATTCTCCATATGCCAAAGGCACAGTATCAAACATCCTGTCACAACAAAAGAGCTTCCTCAGAAGATGGCAGGAATAATCAAAGGGGACACTATTCACTTGCACACGCATATGGTTGCTTACAGAGTGGTTTCAAAGGATATGCCTACTTTTCAAGTTTAATTTCTCAATGATGCTAAACTCTCAGTGCAAATCCAGATACAAACCCAATCATACTGTTTTTTTTTCAGTTTAACACCACAATGAGTGTGGTTTTCAGACTACCTATAATCTACACAGGGGATTTGTAGTGTTCAATTACTCTGTGTTTGATTTTGTGAGTCTGTTATTATTGATGCTCACTGTGATTGATTGATTAAGACTGGGTGTGGACTCAAAGGAAAGTAAATAAAAGCTATAAGAGGAGCTGGAAGCCCCAGCTGAAACATAGAGCAGATAGTTTTGATAAGTAGTAGAAGATTTAGAACAGAGATGAGGAGAAATTACTTCTGTCCAAAGATCTTGAATCTGTGGAATTTATTACTCCATGGTGTGGTGAATATCAGGGTACTGAATGAATGTAAGGAGAAGGTTGACAATTTTTAATTGGTATTGAGCCGAAGGATTGTAGAAAGCAGGCAGGAAAGTGAAGTTGTGGCTGAGATGAGGTCAGCCATGATCGTATTGTATGGCAGAGCAGGCTCAAGGAGTTGAATTGCCTTCTCCTGTTCCTTATTCTTATATGCTTATGCTTTTATTTTAAAGTACTGTGACTAAAACCTGTTGCACACTAAGAAACTAGTGCCATCTCTGTATACACCGAAGACATAAAAGGTGTAACAGAGATGAGTTGAATTCTCCCTGTCATTCATACTTGTTAATGGAAACTCAGTCCACCTAACCACCGTATATACACAAAAATGACTCCGAACAGGCCACTTCAAGACACAAGTAGACAACATCTAAGAACTAAGGGGCACTGTTTCAAAATACGTGGTCTCTCATTTAAGATGGAGATGAGAAGGAATTTCTTCTTTCATAAGACCAGTATTGTTTGGAATTCTCTTACACAGCAAGCAGTGGAGACTGAGTCAATGAATAGATCCAGACAGATTGCTGATTCCTGACAAGAGAGTCAAGGCTTATAGAAGACAAGCAGGAAAGTGGAGCGCTCTCGAGGCTTAATCCTTTTTTTTAATATTTGTAGAATCCCTGCAGCGTGGAAGCAGGCCAAACAGCCCAACAAGTCCACACCAACTCTCTGAAGAGCATCACACCCAGACTCACTGCTGTATCCCAGCATTTCCTACAGCTAATCCACCTAATTTAAACATTGCTGGACACTATGGCACAATTTAGCATGGCTAATCCACCTAACTTGAACGTCTTTGGATGTGGGAGGAAACCAGAGCAGACCTGCACAAAACTTACAAACTCCACGCAGTCACCCAAGGGTGGGATTGAACCCAGGTCCCCAGCACTGCGAGGCAGCAGTGCTAACCACCAAGCCACTGTGCCACTCCATGTTGGAAGCAAACAGTAACCCAATGTGAAGCTCAGTCACTAGTCTGTGAAAATACCTTGAAAATTCTGAGAAACAAGTTGCCTACTCAATCTCTCTGAAAAGGAATAGTTACCAAGAGAGAACATAAAATAGAAAAGGAAAATGTATAGAAAAAAGATGAATCTAACAAAAATCACCTACCTGTTGGAGATGCCTTGTAAGTGCAGCGATGTATCATCAGCTGTCTCTCTCCTTTTCAGATACTCCTTAAAATTCACCTGATCAAACTTTAGATTGCTTTTTCTGAACTTTCCTTCCTGGTGACAAATCCTATCCAATAGTGTTCCTGTGAAGTGCCCCCGAGATGTTACATTATGTTAAATGCACTATACAAGTTGTTTTTATTTCCAGGAGACCTATCATTAGAGCTTGTGAAACAGAAAAAGAAGACCTGCCAAGATTGAAACACCCGAAAGTGAAACAATAATTGTCAGAAGCATGTAGCGAGTGCAGCAATATCTGGTAAAGAAAAAGCAGGATGGATCATGAATTGGGCATAAATCCTTTCCTGGAAACACAACTACCTTCTTTTTGGGAAGCGAGACAACATTTTCAGTGGGCTAAGTCACATAATTAACTCTTTGAGGCAGTGCAGAAATGTTACCAAGTTATGTCTGGGACCAATTCCGGCTCCAGCTGAAATCTTTGCTGGCACCAGCAGGAGTCAAGCAGAGACTGTCAAATTGGCCCCGAGTCAGTAACATACATTCCCCCAGGAGCGAGACTTGTTCCTTAATTCTGACTTGAAGCCACACAGAGGGCTTGTGCCAATCCCCTGACACGTCTCCTGTTTTCTGATTCAAACAAGCACTGACAGGAGCCCTGCGACTGCTAAACGTGAAAACACAACTGGGTGTAGTCAACAGACATCAATCAGATTCTCAGGTCTAATCAATGTACTCAAAGGGTGGACCACCCATGGCTAAATACCTCAGAGCCAAATGGTAAATATTCCTGGCTCCCAAGCTTTCAATTTACTTCTGAAGCCAAGAGGTGAATACTGGTTTAATTCTTGGCTGTTGTGGAAGGGGAGTTGGTGTGCAAACTAAACAGCTCTTCCTCTGCATGACAGTCAGTCTATGGTCGACTACCTCCATAGTACCTTTATCGTTTTGGGTGTGATCTAATGCGTGAGGCGAAAGGATCAACACTATGTGGCCTATTAAGTGTCGGCCCTCATGCTAATGCTTCCACCTTGTAACCCAGCATTGTTGACAATTTGACTGGATTTTCAAAACTTAATGTCAAAAGACTATAAATCATTCGGAATATTGGAATGTATAGAAACATAAGACTTACGCTTGTGATGTGCCTTTCATAACCATGTGATGTCCCAAATCATTCTACCGTCATGAAGTAACTTGAAGTGTTTTGTGTGTGTGTGTGCGGGTGTGTGCAGTAATCCCTTGGAACAAGGATGATACCTTGTTCATGGTAAGAATCTACACGTGGAATCTTTTAACTGGTGACGCTAATGTGCTGTAGTTGCCACCTGGTTCTGGTTGATCAGGAAACTGCCCAGCTCTTACAACCTATGATACAAGACCATTCGTGTAGAGCTCATACCTAACTTTGTCCTGAGGGAATCGATGCTTCCACTGGTCACATGAATGATGGTGCCTATGTCACATATCTATTATCAGAAGTCTCTGGGTGTGACAATATCCATTTTATAGTGAAAGAAAAATAAATAAAATACAACAGGAACAATTCTTCAGTGCTAAAAATCAATCTACAGCCAATAGAAACAACTTTCAATTATGTAACACGTTCATACTCTCAGGTGTCCTTTTACGATACAATGTACAAGTCATGCTGGAGCTTTATAATGGTTAGACCACTTCTAGAGCATTCAATCCCGTTCTAGTCACCATGCTTGAGAAAGGATGAGAGAGTGTACAGGAGATTTACCAAAATGCTTTTAGGGATACTGTATTTTGGCTGAAAGGTTAGATTGAAGGGACTGGTATTCTCTTTGGAGCAGTGGAGATCGATGGAAGAATTGGTAGAAGTGTACACAACTGTGACATGTTTAGATAAAGTGAATGAGAAAAACCGTTTCCTTTTGCTGACAGTACAAGGTCTCAGGTGATGATCCAAGACAATGATCTGTTCCTCATTCACAAGTTTATTTGATAGATGAGCTGTGAAGCTGCGGAGGTCAGATCACTGAGCATATTCAAGAAAAAATCTGGTGAATTTTTTGGATATTAAAGGCATCAAGGGTTATGGAGAGAAAGCAGGAATGTGGTGCTGAGATAGATGATCAGCCATAATCATATTGAATGGTGGAAAAACAACCTCAAAGGGCCAAATGGCCCAAGCCTGCTCCTAATTTCTGTTCATATGTTTCTATCTCTGCTCACACATGCCTCATATGATTTCATAAACCTCCATAAGGTCACCCCTCAGCCTCCAATGCTCCAGGGAAAAAAGCCCCAGACTACAAAGCCTCTCCCTATAATTCAAACCCTCCAGTCCTGGCAACATCCTAGTAAGTCTTTTCTGCACCCTCTCAAGTTTAACAACATCCTTCTTATAGAAGGGCGACCAGAATTGTACACGGTGTTCTAAATGTGGCCTCACCAATGTCCCATACAGCCACAATATGATCTCCCAACTCCTATATTCAATGTTCTGACCAAGTATATCAAGCACGTTCTTAACCACACTGTCTCTCTGCGACTCCACTTTCAAGAAACTGTGTACTTTCACCCCTAGGCCTCTTTGTTTGGCAACATTCCTCAGTGCCTTACCATTAACTGTACAAGTCCTACCCTGGTTTGCCTTACCAAGATGCAACAGCTCACATTTATCTAAGTTAAATTTCATCTGTCAATCCTTGGCCCATTGGCCCATCTGATCAAGGTTCCATTGTACTCTGATGTAATTTTCATCGCTGTCCACTACACCACTTATTTTGGTGTTAACCGCAAATTTACTAACCATGCTTCCTGTATTCATATCCAAATCGTTTATGTAATTGGCAAATAGTAGTGGATCATAAGACAACAAATCAATGAATACCCACCATCTGTTTACTCTTAATTTTAAATATATAATCAGTAACAGTTACACAGGGGGCAGAGGTTTGAAGTTTTCTGCAAGAGATACAAGAGGGAAAATGTTTTCATATATCAATGTAATGACCTAGAACTCATTGTGTATGACAGTGGTGGATGTGAAAAAGATGGATGACTTCAAAAGAGAATTGACTCGGCATTTGAGGGCTGTGGGAGGAATGGGACTAAATGGAATGCTTTACAGAAATCAAACCTGATCTCAGCAGACTGAATGGCCTCCTTCTATGCTTTTATGACTATATCATCATGACTCTGATATTCAGTCACTGATGTAAGCATGTCGAAAATACCAAGATCTGCAGATGCTGGAGTTAGAGTCAATGCAGTGTGGAGCTGGAGGAACACAGCAGGCCAGGCAGCATCAGCGAAATAGGAAAGTTGACATTTCAGTTGACCCTTCTTCAGAACTCTAGGGGTGGAAGGGAGCTGGGAAATAAATAGAAGGAGAAGGAGTGGGGCTGGGGGTAGGTAGGTGGGATGGTGATAGGTGGATGCAGGCTGGGAATGCTGGAGATAGGTGCCTCGACCTGACACAACCCATCTCTTCTCTCCCATCTATCTGCCCCACCCTTCCCACCGACCAATCCCTACTATCCCCTACCTGCATCCACCAATCACCACCCCACCTACCTTCCGCAGCCCCACCCCTCCTCTCTATTTATTTTGGAGCTCCCTTCCCCCTCCCCCATTTCTGAAGAAGGGTCCCAACCCGAAACATCAACTTTCCTGCCCCTGTGATGCTACCCAACCTGTTCTGTTCCTCCAGCTCCACACTGTGTTGACTCTGATGCAAGCAATCACAATAGTTAATTCATGACTCGTAAATGCAACAAACAACAATAGTTTCTGTTGACTGAATGATAAATATTGGCCAGGACAACTCCTCTGAAGAACCACGTGTTCATTTACATCTGCCTTATCAGGGGGGGCCTTCATTAAATATTCACAAAATAGGCCCTCCTACAATGCTACTTTAAACAGATCATGGAGTAGGCCTCCAACCCGCCAACATTTGATTGATGTTGCGGGAGTATTGGTATGGCAAGACCACTTCCACAGTGCCGAGCCATCACATTAACTGCCTTTGAGAGAGTCCTAGAGCTCACGAAGGTCAATCAACATCATAACCCACACGGGTGGCTCTACAGTATTGGTTTCATCAGAATGTGTCAATTGCTGGTGATTGAAATACATGAGTTAGTTGGCATAGAGGCGAGCAAATTAGTGGTTTAGATACAAAATTACACAATGAGGAGCCGTGGCAAATTACCTGTACCCCACTCATAGCACTGACTTTAATACTTGTCATCACTCATGTTATTAGATGGAAAAGGGCAGGAGTGTGGTGATGCTGATTGGCTGATGTATGGAGGATCTGTATCGTGCAGTCACTGCTTCCAGAAGGTGGTTTGTGGAGTGACAGTTGTCAAGTGACAGTTCAACCCCAAACACTTCCTCAGTGTTTACCTCCCTACCTCCTCTGCTAACCAAAAAAAAAGCACACACTCCATTGTGAGGACCAGAGCAAAGGGAAAGGGAAAGGGAAAGGGAGAGGGAGAGATCCAGGGAGCAAGCTGGGAAGGTGAGTGAGGGAAGATCTACCTTGGGTATTTGCAGCAATATGTAAGGGTAAATATTTAATAAATTTTCTTAAACAGCTTGATTGGGGATAGAAATATCAGTCAGTGGGGTTAAGTGCCGCACTTGTGAGATGTGGGAAATCCACGATGCTTCCAGTGTCTCATATGACTACATCTGCAGAAATTGCACCCAATTGCAGCTCCTCACAGACTGCATGGATAGGCTGGAGCCACAATTGAATGCACTCAGGAGCAGGGTGCTCCGGTTTCCTCCCACAGTCCAACGATGTGCAGGTTCGGTGGATTGGCCATGCTAAATTGCCCATAGTGTTCAGGAATGTTTAGGTTAGGTGGGTGCGACATGGGAAATTAGGGGAAGGGGTCTGGGTGGGATGATATTCAGAGGGGCGGTGTGGACTTGTTGGGCCAAATGGCCTGTTTCCACACTGTAGGGATTCTATGAGGGTGGGGGAAAGCGTCATTGACAGTAGATTTAGAGATGTGGTAACACCCAAGGTGCAGGCAGATAGATGGGTGACCACTAGAAGGGGCAGGCAGCCAGAGCAGGAATCCCCTGTGGTTGTCCCCCTCTTTAACAAGCATACCATTTAGATACTCTTGG